TATAAAGTTCTCTAGTTGCTCTGCGTCTATTGTGTCTATTGGTAAGCCTCTCATGGTTATTTTTCTTCTTTTCATTCTGACATGCTTCCAAGATTATTTCTATTTTATCTATCTTTTGTTTCATCATAGCCATTTCTAGCTTCAGATTTTCATTTTCTCTTATTATTTCTTTCATTTGCAATTTGTATTCACTATTTTCCTTCCTAATTTCTTTTAGTTCCTCAGTCATAACACAAATCCTAACACAAATAAGTTCAGCCTTTATACTTCTGTTTAGTTTTATCATTGTTTTTAAACAATGGTTTTATCGAAACCTGAATAACAGACCTATTGTTTTGTTGATAATTATTATTGTTTATCGTTCTTAATCACCCGTCCAGCGCAAAAAGTTCAACTCGTTTCGACAACTCAGAAGTATTACTTTTATCCGGAGGGCAATTAAAAACTAACTATTAATTTATTATTACAGCTCAAAAACAGATATCTGATTTTTTTACTAACATAAAGGTCCCTTTTAATCACACTTTGCACTATTTTGTATGCAGATTAAACTCAAAACAACCCAAAATTGGAATTTAATTTCGAAGCGACACTACACACGTCCAACTAGTACGATTGCCAGAACGATTCTCTCTTAGCAAATAAACTTCAACTAAATGATAACAAAACTCAATATTTATATTTTTCGTCTACCTTCGATATGAGTATTGAAAAAAATAATGTCAAATTGTTGGGCATAACATTGACTTGTTATAACCATAGTGAATATCTAAAAGGTAAACTTTCTAGAACGTTATTTTTATTCATACAATTAAAACTTGTTACAAGTGTTGATACTTCGAAAATAGCGTACTATGCTGGTATATTTATTATTTTGTATATTTTATGTTATGCGCATTAATGTATTTTCATCTCCTATTGTATTTTGTGTATGTTATATATTATATTTTTTACTTATACATATAATTGACTTGATACAAACAATTGAATCTTGAATCTTGAATCTGCAGAGTAGGATCTGTAGACCTGTATGGACTTATGGATGCTCAATATGGGGTGTACTAGACCAAGTAATATAACATTAATACGAAGATTCCAGAATAAAGTACTGAGAAATAATGTAGATGCTCCTTGATATGTAACAAACAGTGACCTCCATAAAGACCTAGGAATAGAAACTATGGACATAATTATTAACAAGATGAAAGAAAGTCACAAGCAACGACTTTATATGCACGAGAAAATTAAGGAAATCCAGCTCTTCGACACTACGGGGCAAACTAGAAGATGGAAGAGGACAAAGCCTTTTGAACTAGTTTGCGTGATAGGTGATAGTAAATAGCAAAGCATAGTGCTTATAAGCGTTTGCATGTTAGAGTAGTGTACTATCTTGTTAGTTAAGACACGAGACGCTATGGGGTAATATCTTAATTTTAAAGAACAGTAGTAATTTAGGTGAAATTAAAATTGCTCATTGGTCACTTATGATCAGATTGCAATTGTAATAATCATCATAGTAGTGATGATTATGGAATAAATAAAAAAAATGTGCTTACATCCTTATTATATTTTCTTCTTGCATTTAGTGTTTTATAGTTTCTTCTTGCTGTACTTTCAATATGAATATAAATTTTTCTAACATGCCTGTTTTTTGTTTCCCCTTAATTACGGTAACATTTTATTATTATCAGATCCTTTTTTCACAATTACTGCTTCTTATCTGTTATTTTTTTGCATTTTACTTTATTTTCTTGTGACCAACATGTTTACAAGTACCCAATCAAAAATATTCACTTTTATACAAGAAACCAAAGCAAACTTCTAAACTCGATCATATTTTTTCCGAATTGTTGTATCTAATACTTATTTAATCTACTAAATACCTTCAAATAAATTTGTACAATATTTATAAAGTCACAATATATCAAGTGTTTACAAGTTCAGAGAAAATGAGGAATATCAAATTATATACACATATATTATACCTCTACTTCTTTTCTACTTTGCACTATTATACCAGTTAATTATTATAATCCTCCTCATTTGGGTGACAGCTATTATGATTTTGAAATTTATTAAAAATTTAAATAAAGTTACTGATTTTATAAAATTCAATAGAATTATATTCAATAGAAAAACAAAAAAAAATACTTAAATTTAATCAGTTTTATCTAAGTAGTGCTGCAATTTATTTTTAAGTCAGGTGAAACAATGTTTAGTAAATTTGGAGGATAAGTTTAATATATGGTTAACAGATTTATCAGGTCAAAAAATCGGATGTATATTCCTTGACAATTTATATAGATGATTGACTGGCTTGTGTATTTTTAATTATCATCATAAGTTGATCTTAGTTTAATAGAAGTAATGTGGAGTTTTTATTCATGAAAAATCTAAGAGAATCAGAGGTTGATGCTGTGCCTTTGATTTTTTTGGCTTTTGGGTTTTGATTTTGTGAGATATCCCTGTAGGAGTAAATAATTGAGTATTTGCATTAATATTTTTGATGAGAGAAATGATTTTTCGTCAATTTTTCTTTTCTTGAACAAACAGGGTGATTCTTTGGTGACTTCAAGTAAAACTTGTATATTCTTTTCTTCTGGCGGTTTTTCAGTTGAAGTTTTATTGCACATGTTCTCTCTGGCAATTGTAGTTCTTTTTATTTTAGTAGGCGATATTAAAATTTCTGTATTAGCAGAAATTGAAGATGGTTTTGGAGTAGGTATGTGTAATATTTTGATCACCTACTCCAACTTGTAATTGACTCTCAATATCGATATAATACTGCGACTATGGCGCTAAAATAGGATTCGTTATAGTTGAATTTTGGGCATGAATGGTTAATAGTATATTGTTGCTGTTTGGACAATTGTTTGAAATACGGCCTAATTGCTTACATGTATAACATGTCAAGTTGTCTTGAGATATAAAAATTATGCATGTGGTGTTTTTACAATGTATTTCAATAGAATCTGGGATAGTGATATTATGTGGGCTGACAAATACTTCTTTATTTATTAAAAAAATCGCATCAGCCAAATTGACTATTAGCAAAACAATAGTAGCGAACAATACTTGTATAACATTTATATGTTTAGATATATAGCATTTAGAATGTTAATTGAAGGTAAGAAACTTTTTAGGTTTGGCATCATGCTCTATCACTATATCAGATCTATATCACTTAGTTCGTTGGGTATATTGTACAACATACGATTTGGCGTTATGGCAGGATATATCTCTAATGTATGTTTAATGTCGCGTTAATATTACCTGATCTCTCTGACTTGTTCGTAATGTGGGCCAGGTTTTTATTTTTTTAGTATCGCATAGCTTGGCCCATGACACTTTCCTCTTTTCTTCCCACATACATCGCACTTTACCTTTGACCTCAGCTTTCACATCCGCACTTGTAAGTGTTTCAGTACCCTCCGCACTATCACTAGTTGCAGCTCCTTTTGTGTTTGTGACATTTTGCTTAGAAAACAGGATAAAACGAGTTTTTTCATTGGAAAAACGGAAAACTGTTTTTTGTAAGCAGAGTCCTAAGTATAGTATGAAGTTGTGTGTGTGACAAAATATATTTTGTATATCTTTGCCTCTAAAAAAACTGCAAAATCATTTGCGTAGACTTGTCCCTTTAAAGATAATTTTAGATTTTTGGGAATATCATTGATTGCCAAAATGAACAGGGCAGGGTTTATAACCGAGCCTTAAGGAATACCATTTTTTGGATACATTATATCTGAAGTTTTGTTGTTTGTACTAACTCTGAAAGCTCTATTTTGTAGAAAGATTTTAATAAAGAAAAGGCAGAGATCTTGGATATTACAACTATATAATTTTTTATTTATAATCGTGCCAGGCTGTATCGTCAGCTTTTGATATGTCAAAGGCAGTGACCTTGGATATTACAACTATATAATTTTTTATTTATAATCGTGCCAGGCTGTATCGTCAGCTTTTGATATGTCAAAGAAAACCGCTAGACATTTACTTCTTAGTGCGAATGCTTCAGAAATCACTTTCCAAATATATGATATTACAGTATTGTGCGAATTAATGGAATCACTGTGAATTTTTTTGATTTTTTCAATATTCACAAGAAAATGTTTTGGGGATGTTTTTCATACATGGGGGTTGGATCTTTGGTGACAATTGAAGGCATAATAAACAGCCAAAAATACAAATCCATGTTGTAAAAGTATTTGGACAAACAACTCCAAAAATGTCAACCCCAAGGAGGAGCGATTCTTCAACAGGACTCTGCTCCCTGTCACAAATCAAAGGAAATGATGGCATTTTTCAAAAATAAGAAGATTAATGTTTTAGATTGGCTCGGTAATTCGCCCGACTTCAACCCTAATTGGCCCATAACAAAATTTATGGGCCATTTGCAAAGCTAGACTGCGAAAAATCGACTGTACCATTAAAACAAAAATGATAGAAGCGGCCATTCAGGTTTGGTATCGAGATGAAAGGATATCTGACAACTACCAGAAACTCATAGAATCTATGCCAAAACGGGTAAAGCAGTAATTGCTGCCAAAGGGGGACATAGTTCCTACTGAATGATGTAAGTTTACCTTTATAATTTTGTCAAAATATAATTTTTTACTAAATAAACTGTTTTTTCATTAAAAAAGCCTATGATTCTATTAATTCGCACAATACTGTATCTATGGGTGACCTTTGCTCTCTAAAACCACTTTGTTCTGGAATATCTAAATCTTATCTTTCCAGGTGTCATTTTAGTCTATTATTAATAATTTTTTCTATAAGTTTTAGTAACTTACACCTGGCGCATATTAAAGGTATCGGTCAATGTGACTCGGGGCTTTTTTTAATACTATAATAGTATTATAATAAATTTGTATTTACGAGAGGGTCTCCGATTTATAGGCTGGAATGTCAGGTAAAAAGCTTATTGTAGTAGCTGTTAAAAAAACCCTAACAATTATTCAATAAAAACTAAAATAACATAAAATAACATAAAAACTAAAATAACATAACAGTTTAATCGCTACTTTTATAAACGACAATTTTTAGTACAATACTGATATAAACAGCTATAATAAAGAATACCTTATATCTACTAGTTTCCGTTTGCATTCTCTATCAACATAACAGGTAAAATATCAATAATTACAAATTATTAACTATAACTGGATTATTTTGGAGAATGACCTTCCAACTGTCTATTCTTTCGGCCTCGGGAATGCTCCCCACTGTAAGTTCTTTCCCTATGTTTAAAAATCCAGAACCCTTATCGAAAGTCTTCCAAGTCAATTGTAAATCATTTGCAGGTGGTGTTGGGTTCCCTGTTTTAGCAAAATTTGTCCATAGTTTCACAAACCGACGAATTGATTGATCTTCTGTTTCGCCTTTATCAAGGAACTGAGCTGCTATATGGTTGTTGAAAAGGTATCCCAGGTCATCGCCATGACAGGTACCTGTAACAATAAAAAAGTGTTAACTGTACGAAAACGACAACGACTCTGCACTCAAAAAATTGAATTGAAATGAAAGCTATATCGAACAGGGATACTGGGCACTTGGCTCTGCAGAAAATATAATGAACGGAAACCGGCACTTTTGACAAGAGTATCCATTTCATATATTAAAGTTGCAATGAAGGTCAACATGTATATGGAGGGTGATTTATTTATTTACCAGATGAATTTAAACCATACATTCATGGAATGCGCGATTTACCTTTAGAAAAAATAATTCTTCAATTTCAGTTTGATCAATACATATGCTCCTACTGATGACAAAACAAAAATAATACAGGAACAGTTCTTCGAAGACCTAGAGCCGGTATACAAAAGATGTTGCAAAAATAACATTAAGATAGTGTTTAGGTGACATGAATGAAAGAATAAGACGAGATCGAGTTTTCTTGCCTCCTATAAGTAGGCATAGTTAAACTTAGCAACAGCACTAAAAATGATAGTCGCTAGTACCTAATATTAACACAAGAATATATAGAAGGTAATCTGGACCTCTTCCGATAATTAAACAATGAGTCAGATTGACAACATCTTAATAGTTTCAACATACGGAACAAACAAAATTAACTGCAGAAGTCGTAAAGGCGTAATTATAGGCTCAAATAATTTCCTAGTAAGCTTAACATTGAACAAGGTCTAGAAATGTGCAAAAGCTGAGAGATCTACCACATGTAGAACGGTACGTTGATAACATCACCAACAGACTAAGAAATTAAAATGTTAATGAAGAAGGCCAGAAACATATAGACTCCTAATGGACCAAATTAAAGCTAACAGCAAAAGATACAATAGAAATACAAGGTTATGGCCATAAAATTCATTTGCTTGACGATTCATTTAAAATTTGTGCCGTATAGAGAATTGGTTTGACGATGAGTGCAAGAATTTAACAAGAAAAAAAGAAGCGTACATAAAAATGATTACCCGATGAACTAGAACAACTATAGAGAATTATCAGATAACGAGAAGAGAAGCAAAGAGAATACATAAAAAGAAATCACTTAAATACGGAATTTAAACACATAAAATACCTTAAAAGACAGACGGATTTAGAACATTTTATAATAAAATTACCATCAAAAGAAAAAAATTCTAGACAACTACAAACCAATGCTGTGTGTAACCTATTAACAACCAATTCAGACAAGTATGATTGATAAGGTATTAACAACAAGGAAAGATGTATTGAATCGATTAGTAAAATACTTTAACTAGCTACCTAACGAGGGGGAAGAGGAATCGTTAGATTCTTAAAGTTAAAGACGCAGTGAAAAAACTAGCCAAAAAAAATTCCCGAAATAGATAATCTACGCTGAACTATATAAAGAAGGTGGCCACGATACCACAATGGCACTATAGTAGCTTATACAAGAAATATGAACAAAAAACTCCCTTTCCAGTGATTGGCATATTAAGCACCCTTAAGCTAGCGGAGACAAATAAGCAGAATCCAATTTAGCCTACGTAATATTTTTTCGCCAATTTTTCACTAATTTATTACCACCCTAATTATTTTTCACCACCAAACCAACCTTAAGGGGAGCGATTCTGCGGGCTTAAGCTAGCAGAATTCAGAAAAAACTTTTTGCTTATGGCATATTTTTTCACAAATTTTTACTAATTTATTACCACTCTAATAATTTTTCACCACAAAACCACCCTTACTTTCTTATAAGATTTCTTATAAGAAATCAGTGCAAATTCTTGTCTATGCTGATATATCAATATTTATTTAGCGTATGGCTAAGTCACAGGTTCATATAAATTACATATATATAAATTACAAACAACAGTAAATAAAAAAATATTCTATAAACATCTAGATTATAAATATAGGTTGCCGTTATAGAATCTAATCGGGCATTCCTCTACTATGTGTTTTACTGTTTGCCTTTCGGCGCCGCAGTCGCAATTTGGTGATTGTATTTTTCCCCATCTAAAAAGTGAGTCGGAATATCTGCCACAGTTCGTCCTTATTCTATTGAGTGTGGTCCAAATTCGTCCCGGTTGATTGAAGCCCTCAGGTTTGCTTGTAATACATGGCATGTTCCAGTGAGCTGGTGCAGCGTTATTCTCCCATTGGTCTCTCCAGCATTCAGATACATTAAAGTTTTGATCTACTAGCCTTTTTGCTGTTTTTATAGGCGGGTGTCTTGAACAGAGCCTATTTATGTCTCTGGCGGAAGTTCCGGCATGGGAGCGGAGCTCAGGATCAGTATTGATTTTTGTTAATTCTCTGACAAGGGCATGTTCCCGGCGGATGGGTGGTGGAGCTATATGACTCAAAGCTGGTAATCAGTAAGTGGGCGTGACCTTGATTGTGCCCGATATAGTTCGCATGGCTTGGTTGAGTTGGACATCAACACGGTGAGTATGTAGACTGTTTATCCATACTGGTGCACAGTATTCCGATACGGAGTATACCAGTCCTAATGCTGTCGATCTAAGTGTGGGTGCTGAGGAGCCCCATGTAGTGCAGCAGAGCTTTTGCAGGATGTCGTTACGAGTTCGTACGAGTTTTGCAGCAGTCTTAGTAAGATGCTCTTTAATGTTTAGCGTTCTGTCAAGTGTAACACCTAAGTATTTTGGGTGTTTATTATAGTTAAGGAGTCTATCCTCAAAATGGATTTGACGTTGATAGTTGGCCATCTTGTTGTTCAAATGGAAGCAGGACACTTCTGTCTTAGTTGGATTGGGTTGCAATCTCCATTTGCGGAAATAATTCCCTATGGCATTTAAATCATTTGTTAGAATGCGTTCAGTGACCTCGAATTCTTTATGACTTGCGGCAAGCGTCCAGTCGTCTGCGTATCCAATCTTTTTTGATGCGGTTTCTAGCATGTCTGCTATGTAGAGGCTAAAAAGCATGGGAGTCAGCACGGATCCTTGTGGAAGTCCATTATTCAGTTTTCTTTGGGTACTAGTCTTATCTCCCAATATAACTTTAAAACATCTGTTGGATAGCATGATGTTAGTAACCTCAATGGTCTTTCTGCATGGGATTATTCGCATTAATTTATATATTGCCCCTTGTCGATACACAGTGTCGTAAGCAGCAGATAGATCGATGAAGACAGCGGTTGTTTTTAATTGCTCTTGAAAGTTTGATTCCACATAATTGGTTAGGGCGAGTACCTGGTCTGTGCAGCTGCGGTTTGGCCGAAATCCTGCCTGTTCCAATAGTAAGTGTTGGAATATGGTTTTGCTGATTCTATTATACAACAGTCTTTCGAACAATTTGTACACCATACTTAAGAGTGCGACGGGGCGGTAGTTTTTCGGTGAATTATTACTTTTTCCTGGTTTTAAAATGCAAACGATTTTTGCATTTTTGAGTTGGTGGATGGTGGAACTCAGCGTGAATGGCGTCGAAACCCGACATTTTTCCTATTTTCATTTTATTTAGGGCTTGCGATATTTCTTCATGCGTAAATATGTTGGAATATTCTGTTGAGTGTGTAAGACTAGATTTTATGGTTTTGAGGTCTTTTTTAACTTTAATGGCATGTAAACAATTTTAAGGTGCCCTAGAGGTTGACACTATGTGCGTAGCTATTTGGTCTGGAGTTACTAGGTTGGTTGGTTTTGGGTCTTTATTTGGGTTTGTCTAGGTTTTCTACGGTCTGGCTCCATTTTTCACACCTGGCAGCATTAATGCTGTGGAGTAGTTTGTCTGCAATCTCCTGCTTTCCATTTTCGCAATATTCTTCATACAGTTTTTCGCTCTGTTTTGTCCAACCAGGGATATATTTTTTGCGGTATCCTCTAGGGATTGTCGCTTTTGCTGAGGTGATTATTGCTCCTGTTAGTCTCCCGTAGTTCTGGCTCTTAAATGGAATCCATCCTAGGCATTCGTCAAGGTTACTGGTGAAAGCAGGAACCATATATCCATATTGTTCGGAAAACCGACAACGCTTTATAAGAATTACTAAAAGAAATGGCAAAAAATATGGGTTTAATAATAAACCCCAACAAATCGAAGTTCATAAAAATCAGCAAGCAACCAAAATCCTACGGCTACTTGTTACAGAAAACGACGCGTTTGAAGCAGAAAATAACACTGCCGCAAATATACATCGCAAAATTTGCACTGCCAGCAGGTGCTCAGCAGAATGGATGTTTCGAAAGTAATAAGGCGAATATACAACTTCGAACTTTACAGAATATACCAGGAACCAGATATTGTAAAATATGTTAGGACAGGACGTTAAACGTGCTAGGACATGTAACGCGGATGTAACTGACCCAGTTTGAAAAACGCTCCTTGGTAGACCCGTTCGTTAGAGAAGCAGAGGTAGACGCAGAACGAGGTTCCTTAAAAAAATAAATAAAGGCATAAGAAATATGAAAATAAGTGCTTGGCGCGGGAGGGTGACGGATAGAAAGGACTGGAAAGCAATTATGTAGGTGGCTAGGATCCTCACAGGGTTGTAAAGTCGGAATCATGATGATGAATCTTCGCATCCGTTGCTCATCTTAGGGCTGACCGGTACCAGGAGCTAGTTCTACATCGTTTCTTGCCATAGTGATTTCTAACAATTAAAATAATTTTTATTAAAATTGGTAATATTTATTATTGAAAACGTGTTGTTTATAAAATGACGAAAAGTAAACAAGAGTACGAAAGAACTGTAGCTGAACTATTGATATATGCTTTTTATAAGCTACAGTATTACTTCACCTTTCTTTTTCATAGTTATTCACAGTCATAATTTTAAGATAATAAAACGTGGATAATAGTAGACTCGGATAAAGCCCAGTAAAATATTGGAGACAATGTTGGACAAATGTTAATAAATAGATAAAATAAAACTAAATAAAGAGACTTTCTATATATTTTGTTATTGGTATCCCATTTTGCTCATTTAAAGTACGCCTTGTAACGTCAAATAAATAAAATATAAATAAAATATTAGTAACAAATATTTCAAAAGCTTTAT